CTGATAGAACAGTATAAATGCAGATAATGTTTAAATCTATCGAAGTAGCCTACTACCTCACAGCTCATCATTCTTCGTTAATGTTTTTTTCTTCATAGAACTGTTTTATTTATGTATGGGGGGGTTCACTTAAAACATCAGACAGCTGAAAATTACACGTGTAATCTCTCCCCGGAGAGCTCCATGGAAAATAGAAAAACAGTCCGTGAGGTTGAGGGTAGAGTGGGGGTTAATAGTAGTAAATCACCCACCCCACTGCCACTTCATCTGGGTCGGTTTACGATGTGCTCAGGCCCATAAAAAGTTCATCCAACATGAACGGTTTAGAAGTGTCAAATAGATCTAAACATTCAGTTTACCTCTTCTGCTTGTTCTTTGCATTGAAGCTATTCTAAACCAACCGAAACGCCACACGTCAGATGAGCCCTGACACCGATTCGGTTTTTAGGGGGGAAATTGGATAATTTGTGAAAATGATATCCCGAGCAGTCACGAGCCCTATAGACTTGCACGCCACGCTCACATCCTACACAGAAACAGCTGGGCTGAATTCTTTGCGCCTATAATTAATGAAGAGGCTCGAGCTCTCAGGCATATGATGATTAAATAAGTAGAAGGTGGTATTCCCAGAGAGACCCTCTGAAAGCTGAAAGACCATTCCACTTCAGTTTTGTTTGACAGCGTTTGGGGGGCAATGACGTCTGTTGACGGCTGAGCTGATCAGACATTATTTTCTGAGAGACAAAATGCCTCGATATTGCTTTTTGGTAGCCTACACTCACAATAGCGCCATTCTCAACCGATATTTTGCTTTTCTGCAGAAAGCCAGACAGACTCTCCTTTTCTCTACCCCTTTTTTCTTATACCAACTAGCGGGAAAATGAAGCGACATATTGTTCACTTCAAGGAGTAGAAGAAGAAAACAAACGGTTGTGTTTTTGGCAACACTGTTTACTTGTCACAGATGTTGTCCGGAATAAAGGGGGCTGTGGGCAGGTCAAATAGAAGGGTCTCTTTACACTTGGAGCGGAATTTGACTCTAGTCTACTCTACTGCAGTCATGTCAGATGTGTTGGATCATTTTGGCCTAGAGATGTATTTTTCATTGGGTAAATTTTTAAGGACAAATGGGAATTTGTTAATCAACAGGTTCTGGTTTTTGGTGACATGGTTTGCCCGACCCCTAGATATTCTCCCACTGAGGCAATCAATCATGCATTTTGTAATTGTGCAATAGATTCCACCTTACAGGAAACATGACAAAACCTTCCATTTACACTGGAAACTTTATATCACCATACAGGTAATAACAATGATATAAAATCAAGAAAATGTCCCATAATGCAATTTGTGTATGCTAATTAGACTGGTTGCATGATGGGTGGAGATGCGTATGAATGTTGAATGTGGCATATGGGCCTAGCTTGTTTGGGCCTATAGGCATATACAAATACGTACAAAAAAAGTGTTAGAATATTGATTTACAAAGACATAGTTACCTAATTGTGATTATCAGTCACAGTGTAACGTTTCCCAATAGAATATGATGATACAGATGCTAAAAATATGTATAAATGTCTTATTGTAGGGACAACGTGGCTATGCTTCAAAGCTAAGGTGTGGGTGCATAACACGTATTGAGGGATTCATGTTAAAGATCGTTTGCATTTTTGTTACAAGAATTTATATTCTCACCCAGGTTGTATGCACCAAATTAAGATACTTTTTAATGTCTGTTTCTGTACAAACGCAACGTTATGTTTAGTGGATACACCTAGCTATAGCCTACACTTGTCGTCTTGGGAAAGTGACAATTAGATTCGGAAAAAACGTTTTAAAATGTCGTTTGTCCATACCTCTTGAATATAATTCTCCATAAAGGAATGTTTTATTTGTTGCATTCATGCATTGACAAAAAGGGTTTTCGATTTTGAAAATCGAAATGACCTAAGACATACATTTTTCTGAACTGTAACAAATGTATACAGTTTTCGATCCTATTTTATTAGTTTAACAGTTCGATATTGTCCTCCTCCAGACCTACAGTTTAAACTAATGTAGACGTAAATGCATTGATGAAATGTCAATATTTCCTCTATCCCGACAAAGCGATAATATATATCGGTTATTCTTTTCCATCTTCAATTGGGTTCGTTATGCTTTTTTTGTCCTTCACACGTGGGAACTGTTTCAACCTCACTTGGCATTCTCACATTGTATCCATGCATCGCTTCCCAACAATGAGCCAGCGAGCCGTTCAACTGGAAGAGAGACGGGAGGGAGGAAGAAGTTGAACAGAGTTGTGCTAGATCATTGCAGAATTCTCTGTACCATGCATTCAGGACTGACAATGGTTTCGGACAGATTCAGTGGTCTCACTCTCCATAGCACGATCGCATTACAACGCTAAAAAGCAGTGTGATTTTAAAAAAAATTTTTATCCGTGTTCAAACAAAGATTGTGGAAAGTCCTTTTTATGGATGAAATATATTCGTTTATTGTCTTTAGCCTTAGTTGCTAATAATAATAATAATAATAGGCCTAGTAATAATAATAATAATTTATTTCAATAAATATATATAATGATGATAATAATGTGTATTTATTTACATACTCAATATGTTGAATGAGTCTCCACAGAGGCATCAATAGGCCCTGTTTCTATGTCCCCCTAGGCGTGATTTGAATAATAAACTGCGTGGAGGAGAATTACTAAATAGCAGCACATCTCTGGAACAACACAAAACAACAACTCTGTCTCAAAACGATATTTCACAAATGTGGTCAAATCGTTTGGGCTATTTCGACAGTGCAGAAGACAAACATGACAAGCATGTTTTATTACTCCGTGCCCATGGGCTATACAATGGCCTTCTCAAGATCCAATTTAGCAGTATAAATGATCATTTTCCAAACATTTGCCTCATATTCCTAGAATCATAGAGAGCGGTGTAAAATTGCATTATCAGAATGCTCGGGTATTTGTGTCACATAAACGATTCTAAACTATTCAATATTTACCTAAGCTGAATATAGATGATTTACGTCTCTGAAATTGTATCTATTGGCCCTTTGAAACATCAATTCTTCCATTTAAAAAGCCTATTTCAAATAAAAACGATGACGTCCTCTTAGGGGACATTGCATCGAACACTTCAATTCCTGGAGGGATCAGCAAAGAAAAACATAATTATACTATTTAGCTGGCTGATGTGTTGCAATCACTGGCCCAGGCAGCACACATACTCTGGGAGATTAAAATAGAAGCCCCAGTCGCTCGCCCGTGTGACTCGGAATAGAGGACATTAGGGCTAAGGGAATTATATAAAGCCCAGGGGAGGCTTCAACTCGAGTGCGGAAAGTAAACTATAGAGATTAATGAAAGGCAGTAAACAGGAGCAAGCTGGCCCACTTCACTAGCTTATTATTACTGTTATTATTATTATTATTATTATTATTATTATTATTATTATTATTATTACTAGAGGTTATTCTAAATTATTAAATGTAGGCCTATTTCAATATTTTTCCAATCGAAATAAGCAAGACAAAGATTGAGTTGGTTAGAAATAGAAACATAGGAATATATATGAAACGTTGGGAGTAATTCCATGAAGCCATGTGCTAATGTACACCCGTGTTAATCAACTGATTATAATGACGATAGAAACACTAAAGGTTCACTACTGATCATAAAACAAAACAACATTGGCAGCTGATAAAACAAATACTACTACTAGTAATAATATTATAATAATTCGATGATAATTAACAGATTTGTTTTCAAAACATTTCCCAATGTCTGTGCCAAATCAAGACACCATTTGTCTCATCTTACAAATCAGCCTTAATCACAATTTCAAAGATTAGGCCACATAAACATTTTTTTCTCTCTCGAAAATCCACCACTGTATTGTATTTCTGGAAAGGAAATGGTTTGTTCCATGTTAATCCATTGTAATATTCAGGTTTTCCCACTTGGCAGTATTGTTATAATAAACATGTAATAACTGTGACCATTTCAAGTTGCTCTCTCTCTCTTTCTCTCTCTCCCTCTCTCTCTCTCTCTGCCTTCCAGTCTTTGGTCCATTTTAACTAGGCCATTCGATCAAGGACGGCTTTCCGTGACAGATTAAGAACGAGACCCCTGAAATTAGGAGCAAGTGTGACACCTACCTGCGGAAGTGGGAAGGAAGAGTTTGAGCCTTGAGGACAGTGAGAGGCTCGGTTGTTGACTAAAACTGACTAAACCCTGGAAACTATGTGGCCTTTACTGTGTGCATGACATGCTAGTCCCGCTATACTCCTTCTCTCCAAACCTAACCATGAGTGTTTCACATCTTACGCGTCATTAAGGAGGCTCCAACATTAATTATATAACTGGCCAGTATGCTCTGAAGCCATAAATGCACGGTTGCGTCCTTTTAACAGTTTTGCCACGCCTTGGAAATAGTAATGAGCTCTAAATTTGGCATAAAATCGAACTCATTACTGGAGTTCGCCACCTGATTGCTTTGCTTATAACACGTTGCGGTTGGAAAGTAATTGGGTTAAACGACTGGGCCTCCAGTTACGCCATTGTTATCATATTCACCTTCATAAGTATCCTCCTACTGCACACGTAGAAAGGAATAGGAAACATAGAGCCAGAAATATACATATATTCAGTAAACTCGTGCCAACATCTTTGGCCAAACCCCACAAAAATGTAAATATTTGGGTAGACCTAAAAGGCTGTAGGCCTATATGTTTTTCACACGAGAATTTGAGAAACGTTGACATGTTCTCATGTTGTATAAAGTTGGAGTTCTCTTTCTGAATAGAAAATTGAATTGATACACCTGTCACGGGGTAAAAGACCACAATCCCATCGATAAATATATCTTTCATATTCCATAATGTGTTTCTCTTTCAAGACCTTCTGACACATTTGATAATAACAATTGCCTCCCCCCTCCCGCTCCTCCCAGAATAATCGCTGCACACGTGTATTTTTTTTCTCATAATTTACTTCAAAGATAGTGTATTGTCCATTTTAAATACAAAAATGCTACATTAAATATACATATTAGTCTTTAATACAAATAGACTAAGGCGGCTGCAGCGATTAAGACCATTCTTGTTACATCTTTAGGATTAACCATTCAGAAACTAACATTTTAGGATAAGCATTTACTCAAAAAATAACTGTTCGCAGAATTTTGCTTTATCATTATTATTTGTCTTATTTTTTTTTGTAATGCAACCACAAATAATAAATAAAAGTCCGATGGATTTTTGAAAGGGATCAAGGTATTAAATGTTTGACATACCTTTCTTTAGTTCATAAGGGGAGTCTTTACAAATATCTACCTGCGTTTGGCCTCTGCCTTTCTGGCTTTCTCTTACCAAAGCTTCTGCTCTATTTAACACAGTCTGGTTTAATCCATTGAAATGTGCGGTGGAGCCCGTGCCCGAGCCGTGATTGCTGTGACTGTGAAGATGTCCAAAGCTGCCATAGTTCGTGTAGCCCGGGTAAAAAGGGGACGTGTAGTAGATAGGCCTGGATAGGACTGTGCTGTTTGGGAGAGGACACTGGGGGGAGGACCGTGATGGTGACGCTGCATTGGTGCTGATCACTGTGCTGTGACCCATCCCATGGCCCTGCGGCCCGTCACTGCTGCTCTTACACCTGTCTGAGGACGTTGCGATCTCAGCCAGGGACCAGAGTTTGGGTTTAGGGGCCGATGGGGACGAGTGAATAACAGATGTAACGTTGCTGTTTACTGTGCCCGGCGCATGGCCCATTTCTGACGGCTTGTCTTGCGCAACGAGCTCGGTTCCTCCACGAGACACGGCGGATGGAGACGAGGTGGTGGGTTTAGCAGACTCGGGCAGTAACTCTGTCCGCTCCCCTTGGTCTTTTAATTCCGAGTCGCTCAGAAGGGGATCCATTTCTTTGCCATGATTCTCCTCTTTAAATCTGTCGCAAGCTATGTCCCCCGGGTTCAGCAATTTATGATCTGCAGTGAGAGAGAAACAAGAGTTAAGTTACTGTGATTTTTTAAAATAACATTGTGACATAAGATACAGATAGGCTACCAATATGTTATAGTCCCCTAATTCATACACTCATGCGTTCATATTTGTGCATATGCTAATTACCATAATAATAGGCCTAGTTATGATAATAAGTAGGCTAATAAATAATAGGCCTGCAAACAACTAGGCCTACAACTAGTGAAAACCGTGATATTAATGATTGTGTTTTAATCGTAAAAATGATCATTAGGCGGTACACAGCCCAGTCCACCAGCTGCAGCCCGCCTTATTATGCAGTTAAAGATAAATCGAATGCTAAACACTTTACGTCACCAGCAATTTTCAGCCCATGTTAAGTCAAATGAGGGGAGTTCAAGGTGATTATTATTTAAAGCAATTGTCCCATTATAAATAATATACCACCATTAACCAGCAATCAATTTTGCGCCCTGAGTGGAAACGACTGCGATAAAAAATTGATGATTTTTCTTCAGACCTGACTCTGTGTCTGTCGAGTCTCCCTTTTCTGTCGGCTTGCTAGGCTCGTCGTCGTCATTCTTTTCCAGATCGATGTTCTCGTCTTCCTCCTCGTCCTCGCTCCGGTTTCGTGGAGTCCAGGTCATCTTGTTCTCCTTCTTTAGCCTCCTCCTGGCATTGGCGAACCAGGTGGACACTTGGGTGAGGGTCATTTTGGTGATGATGGCCAGCATGATTTTCTCGCCCTTGGTGGGGTAGGGGTTCTTACGGTGCTCGTTCAACCAGGCTTTGAGAGTGGCGGTGGCATCCCGGGTCGCGTTTTTTCGGTATGCCGGGTCACCGTAGGGGTATGAACCCAGGGGAGCAGCGTAGGGGTGATATCCTATAGACCCAGCCATGCCCGTCGTGTGGTCATAGGGAGAACTCTGAAAACAAAGCCGTCGAAAATAGTCAAAAAAATGCTTTTCAGATAATTGTCAATGACTCATGATAATTAAAACAGTACAAAAGAAGTGTCAAACAATAACAAGGCACCATAATAAACACACACACAAACACACACACACACACACACACACACACATTCACACACACACCTCTGACATTTAGGTTGTTTACAATAAATCACGCATCAGATGCGTCAGCAATGCACTTTTTATATTTTACACAGATGGACATCGACAATGTTATTTTTATCAACTTTGTTTTCCTTTGTGCGTTTTTGTATTCAAGATGCGCCTGTCTTGCTGCCTCTGTAGCCACCGCAAAGTAATCTATGCGTAGTGAAAACAACCTAATTTACAAATTAGATAAAGCATCATGCATAACAGGCCTATTATGTCTTCTCTTCTCATATTTTTACCAAGACAGGATTTTATTACAATTATTTCCCACCATTCTTCAGCTGGCCTACATACCTGGTTTAATTTGCGTTTAACTGCGTGCTCAACTCACTTTCAGATTTAGAACATGTTAAAAAATCAGGAGTTGTGTTCCCAAATGAACGAACATTTGGTCAATGCCCACAAAAACAACCGAGTGTCCCTAAATAAACGAGTTTGTAATTTCGCATAGACTAATAAAGACCTTCTCTAACAAATAACTATAGAATATAATGTGTTCCACCGAGGTTGGGAGCTTGCTGTTTGTTCTTGTATGCAAACTGCTTCAACACAACGACCTATTTCATTGCTCATTATTTACAGAAAAATTGCAGAAAAAAAGAACCCTAACATGCTAATTAGCCTAATTAGTTATTTTGCATGTTTCTCACTGCATCAAAATGGTGGGCCTATTTACAACTAACTTACCCAAATGTAAAAGAGTCATCAGCAAAATACAGGCGCACGCTAAACCAGAAATACATTTGCCTCATTTGCACCATGCTAAAATTCTACACATAGGCCTACCAACAATACAACAAAATATTTTCCACATTTTTTTTCACTCGGAAATGTCGATTATATGCTCTCTCACTCACCACGTATGAAGCAAAAGTGGCGGCCGCCCCCGCCTCCGCACTGTACGGGAGATGGGAGTTGTACCCGGGCGAAGCGCTGGTGAACGCGGTAGATCCGGCATAAGGAGCAAAAGCCGAGCCAGATGAGGATCTACCAAGTTCTTCGGTCCTGGGTCCCGATATAACGCTGGTGCTGTACGCCGGGCATGAATACAGCGCCAAAGAAGCGGACGGCTGGTACAAGTAGCCCTGAGGATACGCCATGGTGAAAGCCCCGAAAGTAAGCCACTTACTTGCGCACTTTTCCTCTTTATTTTCTCATGCACTGTCCGATCTCAGTCATAGGAGTCTCGTATCAACAGACCGCTGTCTGTTCCCCTCTAAATGACTGTGTTAAAAAGTAAAAATATAAACAAATACATAGACTTAGATATAGATTATTAGTCGCTGATAGTCAGCTACAACTGACCGTTGTGTTTGCTTGCTGCGCTCTATTTTTCCTCTCTCTCTCTCACTTGCTCCCTCTGTCTCATGCCGTGCAGAAGAAGTTTTTTGCCTTCGGATGGGGGCTTTGCTTGGGAAAATGTCCTGCCAAGATGCTAAGTTGGAAATTGAGGATTCTGACGCCTACTACGTTCTTCACGCTCCTCCTCTCGGGGTGTAGTCATCGAAGGAAAAGGCAAGCTTATGCTGGGTTAATACCACAGCCCTGCCTATCTCTCTCTCTCTCTCACTCACTCTCTCCCTCTCCATGTTTTCTTTTTTCTCCCGCTTTTCCCCCTCCCTCTCTCCCTCTCTTCTCTCACTAACAATCCCTCTCCCGCTATTTCTCTATTTTTTTTCCTCTACAAGGCTCGGTGCTGTAGGACTCAAGTGCGCCAGCCCCTGGATGGCGATATCATGCGAGCCAGTAGATCAACTCCAACTTTCTTCTTATTCTAAATACACGAAGCCGTCACTTTCACACTTGATCAATAACAAATGGGCTGTTGTCTGTCAGGAAGAGCTTGCCAGATACTGAATGGAAAAAAGTGCTCCATGTTCTGTGCGCTGCGCTTCTTTTTTCCATGGTTTATGGTTTATTGTTTCTTTTGAGAGTAAAACTTGTATTTTTGTATAGATGCCTCGTAACAGCCCAACTGACTGTCCGTGATCCTACGTTAAGTTAAAATCCGCAACCGGAGCTAAAAAGGGGCGACGGTTTTTGATTTTGATTTATTTTGTGCATATCGACATTCTTATGCCAGACGCATTTTGCGTTAGGGTAAGACATGGCAAGATCATGCATAAATTATGGCGCGAATAATACACAGTAGAATATAAATATTACCTTTATCCCAAACAATTTAGGTCTGGCTGTTTGTGTAAACGTTAATTTTTTTCTTAACCAGCAATTTGTAATATTTGCCGAAATCTAGGAAGCATTCCACTCAACTGTGGGATAAGCATCTCTTAACGTGTGACAGCTGTTAACTGAAGCGGCTGCTAAATAGTTTTCTCCATATATCCAGGAATAAACCAGTCAGATACACTCCCTCGCTCTCTCTCACCCCGAAAGTCATAAAAGCTCCAAGCGAAGGCAGATTAGTACCATATGAACTACAGCAAATCCGCTATGACCACTGGATGTAATCTCCTTTGATGCCACCAGCTACGTTTCTTTGCAGAAATATGGATAGTCCCGATTTATTTAATATCGTGCGGTTATCGGCCATTATGGATATCCAGATTTTTCATTTCTGCACAATGGCTTTTTACGCACCTGTGCCATATATGAATAACTCCAGAATAATTTATTACATTATCATGAGTATAATGACAGGCCAATAATAATAGGCCTAATGATAATACAGTTATTTATACTCTTATAATAAATAACCAATTCATAATTAGTTAGGCTATACTATTATAATAGTATTTCTATTATAATAATATTGCAGGAGTTCTTTTTTAACTTGTAATTGTTTTATATTTAGAAAACACATTTTAGACTCATATTCTAACCATATTAAAGGTATAATAATGCATATCCGGATTGAATCTAACATGTCAATATTTTTTTTGAATACAGACATCCACAGGCCTTATAGTCACAGTGCTGATTGTCTCTGGCTTTATAGTTCAAATCTCCGATAAACCGAAAGGGATCGCTGTAGGCGCTGCTAAAATGTGTGTGCATAGTGTCACGTGTTCTTAAGCTCTGAAACCCTCTCGAGAGCAGCAGAGAGTGATGACGCTGGTACAGTGAGCCAATGCAGAGTTCGGGAAAGGCAAGAAAGACAGATACATGAAGAGAGAGTAATGATGATGACAATGGTACTAGAATACCTACTTTTACAACCACCCGCAGTGCTATGATAGCCGAACTAATTATTGTTACCCCGACACTTTTTCTTCCTCATGTTCTTGCAGCAAAATCTATGACAACACATGTATATAAGGTTAAGGATACTAATGTTGATATTGTTTATACTATACCTACTACATCTAATATTGAAGAGGTCTACAACTAATGATATCCTACTCTACCGATGATTATCATTATAATGCTATTAGGCCTACTACTAATAATAGTACTACTATTATTGGAAATATGTTGCCATTAATAAACTGAAAACAAAGTCAAAATCTTATTTAATGGTAGGCCTATGTCAATGTATTTCCCTTTTAAGCAGGACTACAATATATATATGTGACTCGCTGCCATAAAGGTATAGGCTACTGTTGTTTATAAATATTTTTTAAATATAGACTACAAATAACTATTAGCCTATAATTGATTTCTATAATATACAAATGAATCAATAATAAGCTAATGAAACATCAACTCAAGTGTAATTGTACTTTTCCCATTGAAGTTGTCATGAGTGCCTTAAGCCACATTCATTGCATTATTGGCCAATTATATTTACTGTTCTTCAATGAGGGACGTAATGAATGGCCAATGCTCAGTCACTCATCTCTGAATAGCATACCGGTTACCAGGGATACCGAGAGAGGAGAGAGGCATTTTGAATGACGTCAATATGCATTGATACTCTATTATCGACAATAATGACTACCACGGCACCATACGCGCATGATAAGAGGTCTATTCTGAAGTAGGAGGAGGAGGAGGTGTGTGTGTGTGTGTGTGTGTGTGTGTGTGAGATCACAAGGAGCCGGAAAAACACTTACAGCTCGTGCTGAGGAAAAGGTAGGAAACGGATATACCCTAGCTGAAGTTGAGTGCTCTCTCGCTTATTTAATCGGTGATAATATTATAATAGAGCATAATCAAATACATGGGATAAAATTGTCTTCAAGTATAGGCTACTGTCTGCATGTTATAAATATGTCATACCACTTCGTAGCTGTGTATTAAGCTCTTCTATATGTATTTCAAACCAACGGTACATTCTACTTATATTTAAATATATGAAACGTCATAGTTGTCAAAACATAGGTTTGATAAGATATAGAAAAAATTGACAATAAATGGACATATCCTATGACAGGTTCCAGAAAAAGATTTACGCACACACACTCTGCTGGACATCTTTGACTGGAAGCTATTCCAAGTGTCTTACACTTACTTTACTTTTGTATATATATGCAAAAGCAGTACAATTCAGACAGCTTCTGTAGGACTAGTCCACACTGGTCGAGAAAGCAGTAGCAGAAGAGAGAGCCCAGCGGTGGAGCAAACCAAACATGCATATGAAGGATGAAGCATCACAGTGAAAATGCCTGAGGGAGTAGGCGTAATCTAATTTGGATTTAGAGACTATTATTAGAAAGCATTAACTATTGTACTAGACTAATTGCCTCTCGCGTTCACAGAGATGATGGTTAAGTTTAATTAAGTTGGTTAACGTCAAGCGCTTGACAGATTCCTTCGTTGGTGCAAGGTCAGGTGTGCTGTGCTCTCTAGAAAGCAGTGGTTGGTTGGTACCTACAGGAGGGGAACCCGCTTCAAGTATTCATAAGGATTTTAGCCCTTTTAAATCTGTGTCCTAAACCGATTAGTTGACACCAATTTTTCTTTGATGTATTAGCTGTGGGCTTTTGCCACTTGGAAGCCAATTGAAATTCAAAACAGTTTCGCTCCCAATGCTTTGGGGAGATCTGCTGCAAATAATGGATGTTATTTATTTTTGACCTTGCAATTTTTTTAATTAAATGATTAAACATACGTGCACTGCGTCCCTCGACTGAACAACTGCACTGAGTTTGCGGATACTATTGCTGACAACAGCAAGTCATTGTGGCTATATAGCCTACTAACTAGTTGTAAAAGCATTAGTGATTGAATCACCACTACTAATATTTATCTTGTATCATAAGAAGTTTTTGGGATATTTCATGTAATATTATTCTAAATGTGCATGATTTTGTTTTTCACCAAATTACCAAATATGAAAATATTAAAAACCATGATAATACACATTGTGCTGTTTGTGTGTATTTTTTTGTTGGTTCATTTATTATTTCATGTATGCACACATTTACTAATGCAGTCATATCCAAGTATTTCTTATCTTTGTAATTTAACTTCCATTTTATAATGTGGTCAGAAGTGAGCAGTGTGTACGGCCATCTTTGTTGTGTGATGTCATGCTGCTATCCAGTTTTACTAGAGATGCCTACAGATGGTGGCATGGAGTTCACATCAGACTGACATTCAGGTCACTCTCCTTTTACTTCAAATTTGAACCTAACTGTATTACCCAGCCCAAACATTTGAAACAAACATTGAAATTACAAAACAAAAATTCCCCTATTCTCAAGACATTACATTTTTTGTTTATGTATGTATTGTTTTGAAATAATTATGTCATTACATACAATCATTTGAAATAACTAGTTATAATAACATACTTATCACTATAGTATACACCAGGGTAACATTTCAACTGATTTGGTCCCCTTGATATTTTTCTTTTCTAGGTCACTTCTGTCTGTGTCTGTCTGTCAATCTGAATTAAGATGAATGGGGCTAGAATGAGTCCACTCCTCTTTCTCTGGAGCCTGTCCTCCCCTCTGCTCCCCTCTACCCCAGGCTGAATGGCAGGGCTGGGGTTGGCTAAGTGTTGAAATGATGACCCTATTATCACCATGATGAGAAGCGATTCAGAAATGAGAGATATCAGACAAAGATTGGGCCTTCTCCCCCTTCTCTCTCTCTCTCTCTCTCTCTCTCTCTCTCTCTCTCTCTCTCTCTCTCTCTCTCTCTCTCTCTCTCTCTCTCTCTCTCTCTCTCTCTCTCTCTCTCTCTCTCTCTCTCTCTCGCATCCCACTGCCAACTGTGCAGATTATGATTGATTTGCTCGAGACGGATTGCAGGAAGCAGACATTGATTTTTCAATGTCTTATCAAAAAATATATTTACAGTTGTATCCAGCTTTTCTATGGGCCATCACGTCCCACCCCACCCCACTCTGTTTTCTCTCTAAAGGGATAATACACCCTACTCCATGACAAGACAAATTACCTGTAATTTTATTTTAGAAATGAGTCAATAGCTCTAGTGAGTAAATGAATATTGATTGGGCATAATGAAGCCTGAGTAAAGGGAAAACGAGCTCTTTGAGGCAGGGGCCTCTCCCATCAGCACCTAGCTAACCTCAGCCTGACTGCATGAGATCTGCTCTGTGGTGAACCCACGCCATCACTGTTATTATGCTATTATGTGCACTGTGGGAGAAATAATGCACATTTTATGCACATTATAGACCTATGATGATCCGCTTACCA